AATCAAGCAGTGGAACTTTGAATCAGTGTTTTTTCTTTCTTTTTTTCTCTCTAAATCCAGCTAGTCAATAAATGAAAATTGTTGGACATGTCAGCCTGAGTTTGAATTTGATGTCTTACTTTCAGAATTACAGAATATTGTTTCTTGCCCCAGCATTCTCATAAACATCACTCACTCTTTCCCCTTCTTTCTTTGCCTTTTACTCCAACCCTCTGATAAAAAACACTTTTCAGGATGGTACAAGCATGGCTTTTAAAATTATAGCCTGCATCAATTTAAGCATAAAATATAAATTTTGCTGTATAAGTTTTTCTAAAATTCTTCACATCTACATTGCTGTTTTAAAAAATGAAACAGGCTTCGTAATTTTGAGGACAGAGCGTGTAACTATTGAATCAGAAGTGAGTGGGGAATAGAGTGTGAGTGCCAGTCAGTGGCTAAGAGACAAGGTCATAGGAGCTTGACTCTGACCTGAGGGGCCGTGGCTGGGCAGCCCCAGGGGCAGCCCGAGTGGTGCTTTCTGGTTAGAGGGGGCAGGACGCCCCCTCCGACATGGGTGATTTTACACAGCCGGTCTCCGACCTCTTTGACTGGGTCTTCCTTGCTTTTGCCCCTCACGCCTGCGGGAAGAAGTCAGTGAGCGAACTGCGATTGGTAGACCGTTGCATTCTGCTGTCTTCCAGGAAGTGTGAGTGCACCCCTCCCCCAACTGGAAGAAGTAAGACATTCCACGTTGTGTCCCACTTTCCGTGACTACACAGGACATTTCAGTGCACACATTTTCTGGAATAGAGATAGGGATGGCAAATGTAATGTACAACTGAAATAAATGATTTTGGGAAAAATTCCCTGCTTGAGTTGTGTGCCATGTGTGTTACTACTTTACTCTAAGGAAAGGGTGATGTTCGGACCACCGCTGGAGGCAGAGGGTGTGCAGAGTTAGGTGAGGACCCTGGTGGGGAGGGGCCCGTACAGGAGGGCAAAAGTTTCGGACCCGCCCCTTTTATAAAGTTAATATTTAAAAAATAGGTTTATTTGGGTAATAATGGTTGATAACATTAGTGTAAGTTTCAGGTGTGTGACTGTATGATCTGACATGTTACACTCCATTGTGTGCCTGCTTTCCAAAGTCTCGTCTCCTTTTGTCACCATGTGTTTGACCCCTTTTTACCCCCTTTATCCCCTCTAGCAGCCACCACTCTGCTGTCTGTGTCTGTGTCTTTTGTTTGTTTGTTCGTCATTTTTTGTTTTACATCCCTCATTGGAGAGAAATCCTGTGGTTCTTGTCCTTTTCCGTCTGATGTGTTTCACTCAGCGAGACTCTCAGGAGCCTCTGTGCTGTTGCAGGCGGCGGCGTTTCATTGGTTAGGGCTGAGCGGTGTTGGGCTGGCCAAAGACTTCTTCGTTTTTTCCTGTAAGATGGCTCTAGTAGTATTTAGTTGTCTTTGACTTCATTCAAAGCAATTTTGTTATTGTATTGTGACAGCTGTCATATCATCTTGCATTTAAAAAAGAACTTATCAAAATTAGTGAATTTTATATAGCCATTTTAATATTAAAGGTAGAAGAAAATAAGCAGTGCTTTTGGTATATTTTGCTTTAATATTTCAAGAAAGGTTAAAGTGCAACTGAAATGCAAAAAAGAGATTTGTGCAGCATGTGGAGAAGGTGCTGTGACTGACAGAAGGTTCAAACGTGGTTTGCGAAGATTCGTGTGGAGATTCCTCACTGGACGGTGCTCCTCGGTTGGGTAGAGCAGTTGAAGTTGATAGCGATCAAATTGAGATGTTGATTGAGAACAGTGAACGTTATATCATGTGTGATGTAGCTGACATACTCAAAATATCCAAATCAAGCATTGAAAATCTTTTGCACCAGCTTGGTTATTATATTAATCACTTTGATGTTTGGGTTCTACATAATTTAAGTGAAAAAAAACCTTGACTATATTTCTTCATGCTTAAGTGTAACAATGTTCGGTGTTTAAACAAATTGTGATAGGCCATGAAAAGTGGATACTTTACAATAATGGGGGATGGAAGAGATCGGTGGGGCCAGTGAAATGAACCCCCACCAACCACACCAGCGGCCAATCTACGTCCGAAGAAGGTGATGTTGTGTATATGGTGGGATTGGAAGGGAGTCTTCTACTATGAGCTTCTTCCAGGAAACAAAACAATTAATTCCAACAAGTACTGCTCCCAATTAGATCAACTTAAAGCGGCACTCACTGAAAAGCATCCGGAATTAGTTAACAGAAAATGCATAATCTTCCACCAGGATTAGTGAGACCACATGTTTCTTTGACGACCAGGCGAAAACTGTTACAACTTGTCTGATTTGTCCACTGTATTCACCAGACCTTGCACCTTTGGATTTCCATTTATTTTGGTCTCTGCAAAATTCCGTAATGGAAAAAGTTCAATTCCCTGGAAGACTGTAAAAGGTATCTAGAGCAGTTCCTTGCTCAAAAAGCAGAAAAGTCTTGGGAAGATGGAATTATGAAGTTGCCTGAAGGTGGCAGAAGGTAGTGGAACAAAACGGTGACTGTGCTGTTCAATGAAGAAAGATATTGGTGGGGATGAGAAATGTGTCTTTGTTTTTACTTAGAAACCGCACGACCTTCTTGGCCAGCCCCACATTCCATCCTATGAAGAAGTGCCCATGTCTTCTGTACCCAGTCACGGGCTGAAGGACACTTAGGGTGTCTCCGCCCTGTCTCAGCTGTTGCGGACAGCGCTTCAGTGAACAGAGCAGTGCATATGTCTTTATGGAGAAGTGTCCTCAAAGTTTTGGGGGTCGCTACCCAGAAAATGGGCCCACTCACTGATAGTGGGAGCCAGTAAAAAAGTTTTAATTGGCAGATGACTCAATGGAAGTAGCATCATTTAATGAAGTATGATTTATTCTCAGGTGATATTTAAACTTGGTTTATGTTTTTATATTTTAAAGATTCATTTCTGACTTCTCCCTTTTGTCCTTCAGAGTCGCTCACTCGCCTTGTCCTCAGATCTCGGGTCTTACAATCATGCTCTAGAGGGTAGAGCTCACCTGCTGCGCCAGGGAGTGGTCTCGGAAGGGCCGCCTCTGCGGGGACTTGTCATGGGGGCAAAACCTGCCTTCACCTTTCCTTAGCTCCTGCATCCAGGTCTCTCCTCACTCCTGTGGACCCCTGAGCCTTTCTGTGTCTGTTGGTCACCACGGTCACCACCGCCCTGGGCCTCCCCCTCTGTCCCAACCCTCACAAGACTCCGCCTCCCATTCAAGGTCAGCCAGGTGCTGCGTCCTTTGCCCAGGCACCACCCATCTGTTTGGTTCCTCGGCCCTCTGCAGTGCTCGCTGCGCGCCTGTGACTTCGTCTGATAAAACTGCTTTCTTCCATGAAATCACTTATTTTCAGTAATAATCTTAAGTGCTAAACTTTCAAAAGCCAAGGAGCATGACTTCTTACACCAGCAGTAACAGCCACATTATCCCAAAATACAAGGAGTATTTTTAGAGAGAGCTTTGGGTCTCTTTGGAGTCGCAGTCGGTAGGTGGCCATCTGCCCAGCGCTCCTGGAGAGCCGTCCTGCCTGGGACAAGTGGGAGTCTGGCTGTGTGGCCTGGGAGTGCCCGTTCATTGCTAGGGGTTCCACGTGAATGAGGGACAATAAAGCACCCTCATGCCGTGCAGTTCGTTGTTCTTTTGTACTCAGCTGAGGGGGTTGTTTGTTTTAGTTTGCAGTGATGACTGTTACAAGGGGTCTGAGGTTTTAGGAGTTTTGAACATTACTAAGGCCTGTGGGTAGTTTTTCCAGACTGAAGATCTTTCCCATCAAAACACTTATTTCTTCACTTGAAGGAGTAAGCAGTTCATTTTTCTTTCACTAAGAAACGCTCCATGCCCACTGTAAGTGTAGTCCTCCATCGGCTGAGCATTTTAGATACTTACACCCCGTCTGGTACGTGAATAAAAGAAATAAAGATTTATACATCTAATCCCAAATCAAAATGTCACTCACTGTGAGGAACGTCCCACTTGATTTGTGCCGAACAGATTGCCCTGTGTGTGACTTGTTTCTTCTTTCCTTCTAAGAGAAGGAAAGAGGATGTTGAATAAAAATATTTATCTATAATATTAATGTTGATGTGAAAAAATGGCACGGGTTGGACTTCAGATTTATATTTTTTTGTAAGTGAAAATGATGAAACAAAAAAGCCAACCCTCCAGAGAAGGACAGTAAAACCAGTGGTCAAGGTACCTGACCCAGGAGCCAGAGGCTGAACCCTGATGTGGCCACACATGACCGTGACCCTGGGCAGGTGACCCCAGTGAGGCTTCTTCCCCCATCCTTCATGTGAGAGGCTAACAGCCATGCCTGCCTCGCAGTTTTTGTGTAGGTCAAATGAAAAAATGTGTGTAAGATGCTTTACTCGAGTAAGCAGAGGATGTTAGCACACTTAACTTTGCTGTTGTTATTACTAGGTGTGTTCTGAAATTGACGGCATTTCTGAAATGTTGAATTATTTCAGTGCTCAAAATAATAGATATAACAAGGTGCTTCTTTCTATAGTCAAGTCACATCAAAGAAATCAAGATTTTAAAGCACAGGTAATTGGCCCTGGCTGGTGTAGCTCAGTGGATTGAGCGTGGGCCTGCGAACCAGACAATCGCGGTTCGATTCCCAGTCAGGGCACGTGCCTGGGTTGCAGGCCGGTTCCCTGCAGGCCAGTTCCAAGCAGGGGACCCATGAAAGGCAACTATACATTGATGTTTCTCTCCCTCTCTCCTTCCCTTCCCCTCTAAAGATAAATAAATAAAATATTTAAAAAAAAACACACACACAGGTAATTGATAAGGATTAATTTTATTCATAAAAATTTATTTTCCCTAGCTAGATATAAAAAAGCAAAGTAAGGAACTTAAAAAGTAAAAATATTCTCTTAACATGTTCTTTGAATGTTTTTTGCATTGTAGACTTTCAGTATCGCGTATTCATTAACGTCTTTGTTCTATAGGGTGACGTTGTTGGACGTTATAATCGCCAAAACAGCAGGTGAGGAGCCCCTGAGCTCGGATGACGTGCCTGCGTTTCTGAGCCACGCTGAGTTGATTGCAGGCACCTTCGTGGATCAGTGCAAGATGGTGCTGAACTTGGCCTCCGAGCAGCATGACGATGAGGTGTGTGAGATATACTAACTCAGCTAGGTCCTCGAAGAGAATTCTGTTTTAAAAACTTTAAAAGAGCCCTGGGTGGTGTGGCCCAGTGGATTAGGTGCTGGCTTGTTGACCAAAGGGTCACTGGTTGGACTCCCAGTCAGGACACGTGCCTGGGTTGCAGGCCAGGGCCCATTTGGGGGTGTGTGAGAAGCAACCACACGTCGATGTTTTCCTCTCTCCCTCCGTTCCCCTCTATCTAAAAATAAATTAATAAATAAAAAACTTTAAAGGATATCATAAGGACCTATGAGAGCTTGAAGGTCTCACCTCCCTCCCCCTTCCTGTGTCGAAACTTAGACACAAGTGTGATGCTATTAGGGGTGGAGCCTTTGGGGTGTGACTGGGCCACATGGAATTCTTGTGCACGGGCTCAGTGCCTTCTATTTTATTGCATTTGTTTTAATCCTCACCTTCTTCTATTGATTGGAGAAGAAGGAAGGGTGGAAAGGGATTGAGAGAGAGAAATTAATGTGAGAGAAACATCAATCAGTTGCCTCCTGTGCGCTCCCTGGCTGGGAATCGAACTCACAGCCTTTTGGTGTGCAGCATGATGCTCCAACCAACTGAGCCACTTGGCCAGTGCCAATTGTTTTAAAAAACCTTTACAAATAATGTTACGGTGAACATTCTTGTAAGAATATCTTTGCAGTTTTGGACAAGTAAATTTGGGATTATAAATTCCTGGAAGTTGAATTGCTGAGTTAGAGGGTATATGTATTTAAAATTTTAGAAATAGGCCCTGGCTGGTGTAGCTCAGTGGATTGAGTGCAGGCCTGCGAACCAGACAATCGAGGTTCGATTCCCAGTCAGGGCACATACCAGGGTTGCAGACCGGTTCCCTGCAGGCCACTTCCCAGCAGGGGACGCATGAAAGGCAACCATACATTGATACTTCTCTCCCTCTTTCCTTCCCTTCCCCTCTAAAGATAAATAAATTAAAAAATATTTTAAAAAAATAAATAAAATTTTAGAAATATTTCTGAATGACATACCAGTAGGGCACCAGAATGTGTGGGTGTGCAACCCTTCACTGATCTTACTTGTAATTTCTCTTACACTTTTTCCAAGGACCCATGTACTCATTTGTTTTCATATTTGGTTTCCTCTTAATATACATTTATTAATGAGCATTTCAGGAAATTAATATGTCATTTTGGTTAACTTTTTGAAGTTAATATGACATTAATATGAAGTTAATATGACATTAATATGTCATTATTGGTTTTTTGGGGGGGTGGAGTGAGAGAGGGAGAGGAAGCATAGATGTGAGACAGAAACATCGATCTGTTCAGCCTCTTGTTTGCGTCATTGATCTTGTTTGTGCCAAGACCGGGGACCGAACCCGCAACCCAGGTATGTGCTATGACTGGGAATTGAAGCCACAAACCTTTGGTTTATGGGATGATGCTCCAACCAACTGAGCCACACCGGCCAGGGCTTTGTCTACATTTATGATTAACCTAGAGTTTATTTTTGAGTAAGGAATGAAGTATAGCTCCAAATGAATCATTTATGACTTTTGACTATCCAGGATTGTGAAATCTTTGGTGACTGCTTGGTTTTGGATCATGATTTCTTCTATTAGTGGATGTCAGCTTCTGGAAATGTTATTTTTCTCTCTGGTGCCCCAGGTTCTTCACCTGTAAGATGAATTGTATTTTAATTTAAGCATCTAGTGGGTTGGCTGGTATATAGCTAGTGCTCCCTAAATGTTAGCCATTCATTATTGTATCACTGTCATTTAGCAAATAAACTCATCCTTTCCACTTAATACCTGTATCATATATTAAATGCTTACGCATTTTTGGGTCCGTTTCTGGAATCAAAGAGCTGCCGAGAGTGCGGGTTGAGTTCGGGTTGAGTTCACGGACAGACGCGCCACGCAGCCCCTGCACGAGGCCATGCTGAGTCGCACTCCAGCCAGACACGAGTCCTCGCTCGGTGTTTTGGTGCACAAGAGTTGTTTGCCTTATTACCATTTTTCTACAACTGACAGTTGGAACTCAGCCCAAGGACACTAAAGGTCGAAGGCAGATTTTCTAGAGAGGAGACAAATCTTTTTTTTCTTTCTTGCCCACTTGAAAATCTCCTTCCTTTGATTTGCCCGTGTCTGTCTGTGGACCCCCCCGGAGCCTGATTCAGTGAATGTAGCTTCATAAATGCTGGGAGGGCGTGTGACGCATTACTCTTTTTTTTTATTTTATTTTATTTTATTTAGTTATTTTTCAAGTACAGTTTTTTGTCTGTTTCTCCCATCCCAGCGCCCCCTGCCCCGTGCTCCCCACCTCCCTCCCATTTCCTCCCCCCCTAGTCCTCATCCCTGTGTCTTTCATACTTGTTCCTCAAAATCCCTCCCCTTTTTCCTCCTTAAATGCATTACTTTTTTTAAGAGAATATTTTCTGGCTGTTATTTCATTGCTGATTTCCAGATACTTGTTAGAATACTTTATTAGTGAAAGGATTCTATTTGTTAAAATTGGGGGTGTGTTAGGAAGAAATAGAGTACGTTTGGGGGGTTTACTTTGGTTAGTGGCATAGCGTCAGGGAGCTGGAAGGAGACTTCCAGACCTCCACTTCCAACCCAGCACGCGCTCATCATGGCTTGGCTTTCGCCCACCGCCGCCCCCCCCATTCTTACTCCAGTTGCCCTGGATTAAAACAGCTATTTCATTATTCATCAGCAAATATTTTATATGTATGTAAAAGATAAGGAATCTTTTCACACATAACTGAAATACAACTATTGATTCTAAAATTTTAACAATAAAATTTTAGTACCAAATCAGTAGTATTTATATGACCCCCATTGTCCCCTTTTTCCTGAAGTTTATTTCATTGAATTTGGGTACAAATGAGGGCCTTTATAGGCCCCCTCCTCCTCCTCCTCCTCCTCCTCCTCCTCCTCCCCTCGCCCCACCCTGCTCCTCCTCCTCCTTTTTCTTTTTTTCTGTGCTAGTTGTTTGTTGAAGAAGTTGGATTGTTTTATCTGTGGAGTCTTCTAAAGTTTGGATTTTGATGAATATATTCCATAGTGGTCTTTTATGTTAAAGATCACCCTTCTTTTCCTTGAATTTCCTGTGAACGATAGTAGTTCCAGAGGCTTGTTCAGATTTGGGTTACTTTCATTTCTTTTCTTATTTAAGTAGTGTTGGTGGCATGTACATTTATCAAGAGGCTTATGATACCTGGTTGTCTCTTTTGTGATGTTAGCAGCTGTTAATGATTATTAACCTAGACCCATTCATTGTTAGGGGTTGCAAAATATCATTCATTTTTCATTTATTAGCCACAATATTTTATACAGGGAATCTTCCCCTAATCAACCATAGGTTATAGAAGGTACAGTTTGTATCTCTGACCTTGATTGCCAGTATTCCGAGGAATGAGACGATTTTTTGGTGTCATCCAAAGATGACGAGTGCCTTGTTTTGTTTTAATTATTATGAAGTCTTGGCTTTAAAACCACTTGATTTCAGTCCATTGTAGCTATAATTCTTCCTAATGTTTTGAGGTGCCCTTGCTGGCCAGGGGGGCTCCTCAGGTCACTAATGATTTTTCTCCGACGTAACTACTAGTTTCAGATAGCTTCTTGCCATCTGGTGTGACAGGATGTCCTGGATCATCCTGTGTGTGTCTGCCCCAGACCTGGAGCCAGTCAGCCATTTCTTGAAGGACAAAGGGTGTTGGGAGGTGAGGTCCCTTGTCCTTCAGGACAAAGCAGCCAGGGCGTCCACCCACCTGACAAAGGAGGGGCCGCAGCCGTGCAACGGCACCGTGTTTCCCGAGTCCTACAGGTGGTGCTCACTTTGCACTTCTTCATCTAAGTATTTGCCCCAGATTTTTTAACTAGCAGGTAAAGCTATTAAATAAAATGATAGAGGCAAGGTGTTAAAAATGGGTTTTTCTTGCTATTTATTGAGATTTTATATGCTATATTAAAATAGTACCTTTAAATATACTAGAGAATAATAAATACACATTTAGAAATAGCAAAAGGAATTTATTTTTATTCTGAAGAATGTTATCTTTATTACTAAAATTACAGCATCTACCACATTTTGTTAAATATTGTGTACTTTAAAAATTAGCTCAAAGTCTGCAAACATTGCATTTTAACATTTCATTTGAGCCCTTGTTGCTGTGTCATTGGTAGTTCGTAGTTTCTTGATTATGCAGTCTATTCAGAAATAAACTCTGAGTAGTTATGTGAACATTTTCAAATAATATATTTTCCATCTTATCAAGATACTGCGTATACATTTATATTTATCCAGAAATAATACACATTCTTGTAGCCAGAGTTCTTTCAACCACAGCATTTTAAAGGATTCCTGTGACAAGGAATTAATGTAGTTCATGGGGTATTTGTATCTTTAAAGTAGAACTTGCTTGTTGGGATACTTTAAAAAGAAAGTATTTGCATAAATGTTATGTGCATAGCTAGTAATTCTGAACATTTATCCCATGGTTGGGAGGCATTTTTGCTTGGATAGGAACCTTTCTGATTCTCGGCTCCACGATACAAAATGACACGTCACCGCTCATTCCTGATGGTGTCTGCCATCAGAGCGCATGACCGGTGTGTGTGTATTCCTCGCCGTTCTGTCGTGTCTGGGCGGTTCCCCTTCTCCCTCGCTGTGGTGGGAGCACAGCCTCTGTAATACTCACTGTGACGGTTCCCTCTCTTACTGCTGCTTATGGCAGTCCCATTGTTGGCGCGGCTAAAAAACTCATGTTTCCTTCCTTTTCAGGAGGCACTGGCCACGATCAGGCTCCTGGACGTCCTGTGCGAGATGACGGCGAACACAGACCTGCTCGGCCACCTGCAGGGTTACCCTGGCCTGCTGGAGAGGGGCATTGGTGAGTTGGCCCTCACAAGCTCCTGTTTTCAGTCGAGAAAGCTTTGGTTTGTCGTATTGTACTTGAAGTTCAAACACAGGTCTGTAATTTTCAGGGTATTGTTATATTTTTGAGATTTGGGGAAATAGTCTTTCCTGAGAGGAATTACAGCTTTTGCCACTTCCCTGCATCAGGGCGTGGGGGTCCCAGTGCCTGTCACACAGGGCGCACGCATGGGGGCGTTTCGCCAGCAGGGGCTGTGACGACAGTGGGGCCTGGTTCAGTGATAATGATGATGATGGTGATGATGGTAATTTTTATATTACCACAGTTTCACCAAATTTGTTAGTCAAAGTTTCCCTTAATTATGTTTATGGGGCACAAAGAATGGGGCTTACACATAATAATTGTGTATTCGATTCTTGTAAGAGAGTTGTTTTTAAACAAGACACTAGTGTTTGAGATGCTACCATCTTTGCTAAGAAACTGTTGGTGAAGCACCTCGGGCAGCTGGGTCCCTGTGCCCAGCCACGCTTGTGGCGCTGCGCTCCGCTGCCGCCTGCTTCTTCTGTGCAAGAGATGGTGCTCGTGCTGGAGGCCCGTGTGCCAAGAGGGCTGAGTCCTGCTGGATGGGTGGTGGGTTAGGGGAGAGCTGCAGACGACAGTCAGGGTCTCCTGTCAGTGCTTTGGTTTTGCATTCAGTGCTTTTAGTGACAATTAAAACACCACGAGCCTGGGAGGACGCGCCCCTATGGGAAGGCACGGTAGCCGTCCCCACTCTGAAACCACTGACCGCTCTGAGAGTGGCACCTGCTGCCGATGGGTTTGCGGAGGGGGTCCCGTGAGAGGACGGGGAGCCTCCGGGACGGCCGCCCCCTTACTGAGCCCTGCGGCCTCCAGGCGTGGCTGGCTGGCTACCACCTCGGTTCTCTCACGGAGACGGTGAAGTCAGAACCCTTCTCCAAGGAAGGTGGTGAGAAATTTTGAGCTCACTTTCCTCTGTGGATAAATAGGAAGCCCAGGTTGGGGTGATCATTATAGCTTGTGTCCTTAAAATCAGTCATGACAAATTTTAAAGCAAAAACAGAAGAGTCTTTTAATCGTTATTTAAAGAAAGCTTTCAGATCTCTTACTTTATTTTATTTTAACCCATTAAAATAAATGATTTGTGTATGGAAAACTAGTTTAGAATACTAAAAATTCCTCTATGGAAATGAAGTTTGTTCTTTCCGTTCTAGAGCTTTTACGGCTGATCCACGCAGCTGGCAATGACGGCACGAACCTCTTCAGTGCCTCCGGCTGTGTGAGGGCGGAAGGTGACGTCAGCAGCGCGGCCGAGGGCTTCAAGTCCCACCTCATCCGTCTGATCGGAAACCTGTGCTACAGGAGTAAAGACAACCAAGACAAGGTGGGAGTGCCTCTTCCTGAGGGCCACACACATGCGGCTTCATTGACAGTGTCGTTTTTAGAATTGGAATCTGTTTGCCGTTTTGCAGTGAAAGCTTAAAGTGCTTAGACAGGCGTTTGAGGTGTGTGTGTGTGTGTGAGTGTGCACGTGCCCGCAGGGAAGCACCAGGCCCCGTGCTCGTCTGTGCCAGTGTTTGTGGTTTTGTGATTTGCATCATTTGTCCTTAATGTGTCTGAGCCAGTCTCCTTTCTCGTAAGTGGTCAGTCTTTGCCCTAAACTTCTGTACTTACACACTCCTATACGTCATGTAGAGGACAGCCAGTAAAAATAGGTATTTGAAAAGCTTAGAAATTGCAGACACACAGTTGACACTTAATAAACAGTAGTTATTACTGATATTACGGACATCATCTTAAGAAAAAACAGGTACACCTTAACTTACATCTGTACTCTTCATTTTGTACAGTTGCGTCATAAGCATTTCCTCTAGGAGTTTGAAATGGATATAAGTATAAGTCTTTGGAAACTCAGCAGATTGCATGGGAAACCTATTTTATACTTAACGGCTTAGAGATCATTTTATTGCTAATATGAGAGGGTGATGGAGCAAGGCGGCAGGAGAACAGGCCCACGTGTTTCCCATTGACCAACCTGCCGTGTCTTCCTTGAGCTTCACTTCGGCAGCATCTGTGTCGCTTTGTCACATAGAGAGTATGTGTGTGGCAGATCACGTTTTTCCAAGATGGCCACACAGATGTCTATCATTCTGTGTGTCTCCATGTAGTGAGACTTGGCCGCTCCCCCATGAGGGGTTGGCGTGTTTTTCTCCATCCCTTGAATTAGGATGACTGAAGCTCTGTGGTGACTGTGAGTAATGAGATACGGTAGGAGTGGCCCTGGGCCATCGTGGCTAAAGCCTAGACTGGCCGGGCAGGCCCCACTTCTCGCCTCTTTGAAGAAGCCAGTCACTGGTAAGAAGTACAGACTCCCTGAGGTCGTCGTGCCTTGAGTTGCCAGGTTACTGTGGAGAAGCCCTGGAGGATGCTATGCAGTGAGGACAGAGAGAGACTAGGGAACAAGGCACCAGGCCTGTGTTGAGAACCCACCATGGGAGTGACTCTCACATGGGTTTCCCAGTTGCCCGGTTGACCGCGCAGGAATCAGGAAGAGCCTGTCCCACTGGCTCTCCCAGAATCCAACCCCCCTGCTATGTGGTGAGGAAAAGAGAGAATCGGGTGGAATAACTAAGTTGCACAGGCTCTGCTTTTGTTACTGGCCCCATACACTACTATTAGACTGATCTTCCTACAAATTATTATGTAAACCCTGGACATAAGATAGCTACGTGAGGACACTCAAATTTAACTCTCACGGGACAGATTTGGAGTCGAATGGGGCACTTGGAACAAGACACAGTATGCATCGTGCAGGGCAGTTAAAACTGAGAGAAAGTCCACAGACCCTTCAGCTCAAAGAATCGAGCAACAGGTCGAAGCAGCCACAGCCATTGGATGGTGAAGGAGGACATCCTGGGAAGGGTAAAGCGGGCCCCAAGTTCTCTGTGCCAACCTCTGCACCCCTGCTGGTGTCTGAGTCACACACGTGGGGCAGGCAGCGCACAGCTAGGCTGAGCATAGAATCCTTGTGTTGAGATTGGAGCAGTTACTCTAAGGACTGTACAGCTTAAGTCCGGCTAAGGTAATTGCCTGCTGAAGCAAAATAACAAAGTTCTTCAGAGGAATCGAGTAGAATGGGAAGCTTAGTAGAATGGGAAGTTTCCACAGCACAGCACTCACAGTGTCCAGCACACAATCCAGACTAACTCGACACAGGAAAATTCTCAAGGAAAGAGCAGATTACTGACAGAGATTGGCCATGCAGTGACCCAGGTGTTAGGCTTAGCAGGCAAGGATTTTAAAGCAGTTGTAATTGTGCTCAAGGATGTAAAGGAGAACACGCTTTTAATGAATGCAAAGAGTGCGGCATATCGCAAAGGATCGAAACTACTGAAAAAAAAAAAGAACCAACTGGAAATTCTAGAACTGAAAAATACGGTTTCCAAAGTAAAATTTAGAAAGATTTATTGAATGAGGCTAACAACTCAGTAGAGACTCTGGAGTAAAGAAGAGTCAGTGTACTTGGGGAGAAATCAGTAGACATGATCCAGTCTAAAGAACAAAGGAGACAAAAGACTGAGAATAGAATATTCACCTTAGGTTGCTCAATTTTGAGGTCACGCGTCCATCAGCGTTTGAAAATGGAGTAACTCCCACTGGACACGTCGCAGAACAAACGCTGAACAACCTGTTCTTCTGTTCTGCGAGCTGTTCCTGCTCCTCCGCACGTCCACGCAGGCCGGAAAATCACTGGCCTGTTCTTTGTACGAGAGCTTATACAGAATAAAACACTTTGCCCCTTTAATGACCAAGACGGTCTTTCTTGAGCACAAAGGAGGTACTTTTTCTTGTTTGATTATTCTTTTGTTGCTACTTCGGATTGGCCTCTTACAGGAATAAAATGTAGGACCTTTAAAAGCCTTATGAAATAGCTCGTGCATCCCAGCTCAGGCTGCGCCGTGAGTGAACAGGGAGCAGGGAGTGCGCCCCCAGTGCTGCCCTGCCGCGGCTGTAGCCGCGGGGCTCGCAGGGAGGCAGCACTGTGCTCCCTCCGGGGGACCGCTGCTAATAGCACTGCTGCTTTCTGAGCAAACACTCTCGAAGGCGAGGAGTTTGTTCTTTGAGAATAGGAGTGCCTCTGTTTCTCCCATCTTCTTACCTGTGCCAACAAAGGCCTCAAGATGGAAGCATTGCCTTGAGAACTTTTTTTTCTTCTGAAGAATCAGACACAGAATCACAGTCCTATTCTGAAAGTGATAGAAGCTTCTGTACTCTGGTTGTCGAAACCTGAATTCAGCTGAGTGTTATAGACACCAGCTTTTTTGCTCGCTCAAGGGGTGGAATTCACATGGACTCGCATGGCTTGTGTTGCAACTTGGGGAGAAATGGTGACTGTACAACAAGCTTTATCACCAGCCTTCAGTGTTCATTGGGTTGTCCGGATGGATTCTCCCATTTCTACCCACATTGAGCTCTGCCTCAGTCCTGACATTAAAGAGCTGAGTTGGGGGGATTTTGTATCATCCAGCCTTAGTCCATCCTTTACTCAGAAGAAAAAAGGGGTTTGTTTAGTGTGTGCTGTATCCCAGCGTTGTGCCTAGTGAGTTACGGGTGTTATTGATGTAACCCTTGCATCCTGTTCTGTGGGGCAGGCCTGCTGACCCCACATTAGGGAGCCGCCATTCTGTTTGTGAGCTGCAGAGCTCAGAGTGGAATTCAGATTGGTCTGGCTGCGAGCTCCCAGGCTCTCTCCCCTGTGCCAGGTGCCTCTCATTCAGGAGCTTTCCAAGAATTTGGAGGAGCAGTTTTAAGAAACTACAGAAATCTAGCCAGACCTCTCAAGCACAGCTGGGCCGTCTGGTGATGCACACGTCTCTGTCTCCCATCCATCCCTTCGTCCAGTGGGAGCCCGCCCTACCTGGGGGTCCTTGGATGGATGAGACAGACAGGCGTCTCTACCTGAGAAGCTTTGGCTCTGAGAGCATCTGGAGACCGTTCTTGCTGCTTGGAACTGGAATCCCAAAGTTACTCATGACGCATTTCCCGGAGTCACATGTTTCACCTGAGTGCTTCGAGGTTGGATCAGAAGCCAGTCGAGCCCCCAGGGTCTCTGTGCTTGTCTGAGTTTATCGGTGTGTCGGGGGTGGTGCCCACCTGGATGGCATGCTTTGGACTCCTGGTGCTTTCCCTGTTCCAAAGTCCTTTCCGTCCACGTTAGTTCACTGGAGCCATACAACACCTCTGTGGAAAAAGCCAAAAAGATCACTATCACCATTTTTAAGTGAAGAGGCCAAGGCTGAGGGAGACTGGTTTAATGTGCTGTGTGCTCTGGAGGAGACAGTTGCCTTCCCAGGTGAGCCCATGCAGGCGCGGGCGCAGATCTCACAGGGATGCGTGTGGAGGCCCGTTGGAAAGGAGCAGGGGAGGGTGTGACCCTCTGCACTGGCAGTGCCAGGAGCGGCTCTCAGCAGGAATGGGAGCCCAACGGCCAGGGGCTCCGCGGTCCTAGGAAGGGTGACCTGCTTCCTTTCTACTCCTGTCCTCAGGCAAGACTCAGGAGAGTCAGGTGCCAGCCTCGGGTGGGGAATCTGCACAGCAGTGGGTGTCACCCCATCCACACTGGTATCTCGCACTGCCACGTCTGTGCACATGGCAGACTTAGTGTTTGCGTCCTGAGTTGTGAAGGGAGGGCTCCACTTCCCATCCCCAGCTTGGGAGGTGGGTGCTCTTCATACCGACGACTCTGTCTCTTCCCTGTTTGGGTGCTCAGCTCCCTTGGCATTTCCTCGCCACCTCTGCGGTGATCAGTTTACCTGAGACCTTTATGCTCCTGATGCGGAGATTTCGTTCTGCTTTCTGCCTTAAGAAGCCCATGGCATCACGCTGTAAACACGGAGAAAGCATTCCTTGGCCTCTTTGTTAGAATAGGAATGTATGGTTTCTTTTTTCCTTCCCCATTCTTTTTCACTCTTGTCATAAATTCTTTAAGTGAATGCTTTATTAGGAAAGAAAATCAAACCTTTTTTTTTAAACAAAGCTGCATGCATTTTTTTTCCAGAGTAGACAGGCAAGTGATCTAAATTACCTGCCTTCTCTTTCTTTCAAAGACATCACCTTGACTAAGATGAACCATCCACGGTTTTGGCTGTCGAATCCTTCACGCCAAAGGTTTTATGGAAGCGCTGTTCTGTATCCCTTCCTCCTCCTCAAGAGAAAGGACTCCTCACACTCACGCATGTTTGGTCCCATGTGTTCACACAGAAGCACACAGGACACTCTCGTCACAGGCACAATGTCATTTAAAGGGCAGGTGGCGCTGTCTGGAAGAACTCATCGTGGAAGTGCAGCCATTGGGCCACTTTGATCCAGAGTTATCCATGCGAG